GTGACAGAGTGAACAAATATGTTAAAAATATATTTTTAGAAAAGTTACATACTGCACCTTTAATGAAACGTTTCGTCTCTCTTCCAAGAGACTTCTTCAGTCTGAGAGTTTCAGGCAAAATTCAGGCTTTTGAGTCCTGCCTCCAGGTGACTGATACTCACATCAGCTTCGGTGTTAAGCACAGAGGAGGGCCAAGAAATGTGTGCAGGAAATTTGAGCTTGTGCAATAAATCCAATGATAAATGTAGAAGTTAGAGCAAAATAATTAATTCTGTGGAAGACAGACTCCAAACACAGCTGAAACTGCATTGCTGTTGTCTTTTTTAAACTTCTGATTCCAAAATAAAATCCATGTATATCATGTGTATTGTGGATTAGGAGGATTTGTATTTACTACCTGTACACGTGAAGTGAAAGTTGTAATGACAAAATGTGATTTTGGTCGAAACAATCAGTACATGAGTAATTTAGTAGATTGTAGATGGGTGATTAAAGCAATTGGTATTTGAGTGTTTTATAAGAAATAATCATAAAATGTGTAACTAAAAACTTGTGAACAGGTTCTATGAGCAACTGAACTAAATGTGACCTGTGAAGAAGCAATCAGTGTTCATGTGTTAAACTGTGTCCAAATGGGGACAAGGAGGACCAGTAAAGTGACAAAAAGCCTCTGAAACACGGAGCAGGAGGAGTGGAAAGAGGTGTAGGGGGATCTGAAAGCTGGCTAGCGTCCTTCGATGTGTGACTGGAGGAGGAGGCGAAGGAGACAAAGTTTCAGTTATGAAGCAGCAATGCTGATTTAAATAATACCACTGCTCTCCTGTGGACTCTGCAGTGGTATTATTTAAATCAGCATTGCAGTTTCAGTTATGAAGCTGCAAAGCTGATTTAAATAATACCACTGCAGAGTCCACAGGAGAGCAGTCTCAATCATTAAAGACCCAGCCAACCCCCAGCATGGACTATTCACACCTCTGCCTTCCAGCCGGAGGTACAGTTGTGTCAAAAGAATAACCTCCAGATTTAAGAACTCGTTTTTCCCAAGTGCCATCAAATTTTAAACAGCTGAATGTGACAATTTTCTGTCTATTAATATTGCACATTTCAGACTGTTACCTGTTGCACATCTGCACTTTTGCACACCTCAGTCTATGACACTCTAAACACTGATAGTGTTGTTCCTTTTCTTGATGTTGTTCCTTTTCTTGATGTTGTTATCTCTAGTTTGGTCTCTTTTTTGTTTCAAGTGTAGTCTCTTTATCCTTTATCCCCCATTACTTTCTTTAGTATCCTTAAAGTGAATTTGGATTTCACAGGATCAGCGTTAGTCCTGCCCACTGAGTTTGATGGCTGGGTTTGACAATTTAAATTAATTTATGACAACAGTGCTCACACAGGAGCCATGAAATAAACTCACAGTGAAATAATTAAATATATTTTGAAATAAAAGTTTTCTTTAAAATTATGTTCAATTATTTAATTTTCTAATTCAATGATATATTTATTAATTTCATGGGACATTGAAATACCTAATTGCATATTTCATAATTTAAATATATATTTAATGATGTAATTAATTTAATGATACATTCAATTATTTAATGATGTATTTAAATATTTAATGTTGCATTTAATTTAATTACATAATAGATGGTATATTTATATTTATTTATTTCATGATATACCATACTTATTGTAATTTGGCACTCTCCACATTCAATATTGAAACATGTAAATTATATATTATACAGTGGGGAAAATAAGTATTTAGTCAGTCATCAATTGAGCAAGTTCTCCCACTTAAAAAGATGAGAGAGGCCTGTAATTGACATCATAGGTAGACCTCAACTATGAGAGACAAAATGTGAAAAAATATTTGAGAAAATCATTTTGTCTGACTTTTAAAGAATTTTTTTGCAAATAATGGTGGAAAAATTTGGTCACCTACAAACAAGCAAGATTTCTGGCTGTCACAGACCTGTAACTTCTATTTTAAGAGGCTCCTCTTTCCCC